CTTGGCCCCACATCTATCCTTGGCATCCCCCTGCCCGCCCCCCCCCCCTTCTGCTCTGCTGCACGCCCCAGTAGTGGGCTCAGGGCTCCTCCAGGTTTTTAATGGACACTTTCCAAAGACTCAATATAGTTCGCCATCCATTGTGCAATATCCTTACCTATGTTTACTTTAAACTCAAATTAGTCAATAAGTAATTTTTACTTTTCTAATAATAAAGTTATCATACCCAATACAAACGTTTAGAAATTACAAAAATACTCACTAATGATCTTCCGGCCCAGATTGGTCAGCTCACCAGCGTTTTGAAGCTTTCCCACCTAATCTCTCTTTATGTAATCTGCAGGTACAAACACAGGTCAGAGAGAGAGTTGAGATTATGCATCATGTTAAAAACTTTTCACTTATTCCATCGTTTTCTCTGTAGTCTTACATCTTTTTGTAGATGACTGCCATTATTTTAAGGGATTTCTTGACTCAATTCTCACGTATGCAGCCACTTTCCCGATCCCTCCAGGAACGTCCCAGGCAGGCAGGTGAGGCATGCTGTCGACATCCCGGACATTGTGTTGGTTCCTCTTGGTAACTGGCTTGTTAGGTACCATCGAGTCGTTCTGAACCATAGCAACACCACGCACAACAGAACAAAGCCTGTGTGTGCCCTTCTCACAAGTGTTTGTGTGCCTGAGCCCAGTGTTGCAGCCACCATGTCAGTCTATGTTGCCCAGGGCCCTCCTCTCCTTTGCCGCCCTTCCACGTTTCCAAGCACGCCGTCCTCCTCCAGGGCCTGCTCTCTCCTGATAACATGTCCAAAGTACTTCAGACAAAGTCTGGGCCCCCCTTGCCTCCAAGGAGCACTCTGGCCACACCTCTTCCAAGACAGAGCTGTTTGTCCTTTAGCAGTGCATGGCACTGCCAGTTTACCTCTACAGCACCACAAGGCAAACGCATCGATGCTTTTTCCATTTTCTTTATTCAGTGGGCAACTTTCACTGCAGATGAGGTAGTGGAGATACCATGGCGTGGGTGAGGCACACTTGAGTCCTCCAAGCAACATCCTTGCTCTTCAGTCCTCCTCTAAAGAGGTCTTGTGCAGCAGATCTACGTACTGCGACTCATCTTTTGATCTCTTGACTGCTACTTCCATGAACCTTGGATGTGGATCCAAGCAAGACAAAAATCCTTGCCACTTCAGCCTTTTCTCCGTGTAGCATGATATCACCTATTGGCCCAGGTGTGAGGAATCTTAGAGTTTTCTACTCCTGTAAAGAGTTACAAACTCACTCACATTCACCCCACCCTATAGGGTGGCTGAGTTGGCATCAACCCGATGGCAGTGAGTTTATTTATATTTTTTCTTTGGGTCATACTCCATACTGAAGACTGGGCTCAGCCCTTCAGTAACTGGTGGGTCAGTATAAACCGCTGATACATGTAGAGAGAACTGGGGTGGACCTCCTTATCCTATATGATGGACGGCAGCTTGACCAACCAGTGAACGCTCAAGAAATACAAAGGCCAGAGTGAGGCCCTTATGGGTTGGTTTTTGCAAAATTGAGTGCCCAAGCCCCGAAGACAGATGGGGTGGGGGCACCCCTCACAACTCTTCTGCAAGCATTTCCCCC